ATATTCCGTTCTGTACGTGATTTCTTCAAATCATAATAGACTTTTCCGGAACAGAAGAGCAACCTCTTGACGCCGTTGGGATTCTGAGCCGCTGTTCCTTCTTCTGGTATCACTCTAAGGAACTGCGTATCTTCCAACATCATGTCGAAGTTGGACTTAGCCTCCGGATGACGAAGCAACGATTTCGGCGTCATCAGGATCAACGGCTTCCTGAATGGCAATGCGATTTGTCGTCGCAGAATGTGGAAGTAGTTGGCTGGCGTGCTGCAGTTAGCGACAATCCAGTTGCTGTCATGCAGTTGACGCACAGCAAACTCTTCGCTTTCTGGTGGGAAGTAATCCGGATCGTCAGCAGACATCTGAAGGAAACGCTCCAGTCGGGCACTGGAATGCTCGGGACCCTACATAAAAAAGAAAGAGAATTCAAATTCAAAGCCAATAAATTATATTAAAAATAAAATAAGATTCAGCTTGATTTCGTGGTTTTACCATTCCTTCGAGACCGTGTGGCTGTAACATGACAAGACCAGATTGTCTAACCCATTTGGCTTGACCACTGCTGATGAATTGATCAATTATACATTGAGCCGTATTATTAAAATCTCCAAACTGAGCTTCCCAGCATACCAATGCATTAGGATTTGTCATCGAATAGCCCAACTCAAAACCTATGATTGCAGTGAAATCACTTTAATGAGCAAAAATTAGAATACATAATATAGAATTGCATCAAATAAAAATAATTATCTTACCGAGAACGCCGAATTCGGACAAAGAACTGTTGCACACTGTATAAGGTGCCTGATCGGGATATAAGTAGCAGAGTGGCCTATAAGTCGCTTTATCAACAGTCTGATGATGCAATACATGATGCCTATGCGAGAATGTACCTCTCTCCACATCCTGGCCTGATAAACGAACATGAATACCTTCCTTGAGGAGAGATCCAAAAGCCATAGCTTCGCCAAGAGCCCAATCGACGGTTCTAGATTCGATCATCTCCATTCGAGACTTTAAAATACGCTCGATACCTGTAAAATATATTAAAGATAATTATTTTTCCTATGTTGCGTAAACTATTTATATAAACTACAAACTAAATCTGTAATATATTTTTATACATTCATACTTGTAATTTCTTTATTACATTTTATTTCTGATTTCGTCCATTTAATATATTTTTTCATGAAAATATTTCCTTTTTTTTATATTGCTATATTTCACCTTTATGGATGACAAACTCAGCAGCATTCGGCGGCGGAGACGAGAATTTCTTTCCAATATGTACGAGCGTATCTTCCTTGATACCAGTGGGCGAGACTTTCAATGGATCTTTTCCTTCGAAGAAACCGGACCATGGCGAATCTAACCAGTCCTTGTATTTAATGTGCGTTTCCTGCCTGGCATTATTATATGCTTCTTCGCAGATCTTCTCGTATTTAGCTTTAACATCCTACATAAAGAATAACCGCTTTTATTTTAAAAATGATTATATAAAATACATATAATTACATTGCATGCAATGTTCGCACCTTAACTTCCTCGGGAGTGACGACATTGTTGTCGATCAGTGTGTTGGCATATTTATCGAGAGCTGGCAAAGTATTTCTGATCTTACGATACATCAGGGGCTGCGTGAACATCGGCTCATCGATCTCGTTGTGGCCGTTGCGCCTGTAGGAGACCAAATCGATCACAACATCCTTGTGGAAGGTAGCCCGCCATTCTGCCGCTACTTTGCACACGTGCATCACAGCTTCAGGATCGTCGGAATTCACATGGAAGATAGGTGCGTTTACCACTCGGGCCACATCTGATGAATAAATTCATGATAATTAATGTCATGCGACTACAAAAACTTGACTTGATTTTCGACTGTAAATACCAACCAGTACAATATGGCGAGGATCGTGAATGTCTCGGATCGGTAGTAAATCCGATCTGATTATTCACAACAATGTGAATAGTACCGTGAGTGGTGTAATCAGGTAGGTCAGATAAATGCATTGTCTCGAAGACAATGCCTTGACCACAGAACGCAGCATCTCCGTGAAGAAGAATGGACATGACCTGAACACATATATAATTACTTATATATAAATTTATCAAAATCGATCATTAATCTAATCAATCAAGTAATCAAGATTATATCGCTTATATTAAGTCGCATTGAATATCCAAGAATCAAGATATTTATTAATCACTTAAATAATTATCTAAGTGACTTGAATGTTCTTGATTCAAATTTCAAAGCTGTTTTTCCTGTCAATTCATTGCCATATTATGTAGCAGTTTAATTGCACAAAGATCTTTAATATTGCTTACTTTTTTGCCTTCGCCGTCGCCACGGTAGAATTGTTCGGCGCGTGTTTTTCCTTGAACCACCGGATCTACGGCCTCCAAATGAGATGGATTTGCTACCACAGCCAAACGAATGTTCTTGTTCGTCACTCGATTCAGACGCTCTATATACGTGCCTAAATGATATTTCACATCGCCGGAACCCTAAAATTATCGTTACCAAGATTTTCGGATCGCCAAATTAATTGTGATAGCAAAGTACATTTTCTAGCATAGCTAAGAAGCACAATTTTTCATTTATCCTTACATCATCAGCAGCTTCGAGCGCAGCAAATTGTGTGAAAATTTGACTCAGTGGCTTGCGACAGACATTAGCAAGAACATTCAGACGACCACGGTGAGGCATACCCATAACAATCGATTCGACTCCTAGTTCCGTGGACTTATCGATCACTTGTTTCATAGCTGGAATCAAAATTTCGCAACCCTCCAAGCCGAATCTCTTCTCCGAGGACCACTTCCGTGCCAAGAATGCCTCAAATCTGATTCAGATAAAAAAAAAAAAAACTCGCTAACTATAACTCTTAGACATTAAGCAAATACGTGACAAATAGAACTCGAATGCTTCCATGCTTTTGTGTTAAATTATTGTAATTTTTCTTTAAAATAGTATTTTGAAGAAACATTTTCTAAGTATAAATTAAATAATAACTAAATTGTATGAAAAGAAACTAAAATATAAGGAATAAAGATAAAAATTAAATATAAACCTAATTTTCCTAAAAATTTTCCTAAAAATTTTTAATTTCAAAATTTACGTGTTTTTATTAGAATTCAGGTATTTCATTTAACACCGATTATTACCCAGTTGCGCGTGTTAATCTAGCTAAAATGAGCCTCTTCTCATCATTCGTCACTTCCATGACTCCGGGAGTTTCCATCTTTTGCCTGATCCAATTGCATTGCTCCAAGGAGTTGATGAACATGAACTCGACACCAATATGACCACAATAAGCGGCCTCAAGTCGTTTCAGGATTTCACGCAACGGCAATGATTTCTCCTTACCGCCGATAAACGTGGTGGATGGCAATTTGAAAACGCGATCCATGTCCGACTCCTCTGTATCAAGCATTTAGAATGAAAAAACAAACGTTATACAAATATTTTAAGACAATTTAAATATTCCATTTAGCGCAATTATATAAATAAAATATAATTGTATAAATTGAATGTGTATGTTTGTTGAAATGTGTATTTTTCTTTTATTTTGTTTAAAACTGATACTGAAAATGTTTCTTTCTCTATTTTTTCTCTATTTTTGATAGCAATTATTTTTTTAATATTTATCATCATTTTAATTGAAGAAATATTATTTATATCACATATATTTCTTCAACAATAGATGTAATATTCACATATTGCCAAATATCTGCTGAAACGAACATGCAGTATACTTTTGATAAATATGGGTATTCTGATAATTAAACATATTGCAATCGCACAACAGTGCAAACAAATACCAAATTAAAAGAAAACCAAAGTTTCTTATTGCAAAAGAAAAGCCGTGAGCTTAAGTAAAGCATGGTTAGTTGAAACAATCATCGAAAATTCAAACAAAATAGAAAGATTGTATAAAATACACAACAAATAAAACAATATAAAATGCAGTGGAAAAACAGAACATAGATAAAAGGAAAAAATATATGTTAGATTATGAGAGATAATATACGCAACACTTCAATTTGATGAAGAGACAAGTTCGGAAATAAAAGAGGAACAGAATTGATTTTTTTTTTTGCCAAGTTTTACATTAATATGTATCAAAATATTTTTGACATCGATACTCAAATGTCCCTCCTCTAATTCCTCCACAAAAAACATTTGAAAACTATCTGTTGCCTATAAATATCATTACGCAGAAGAACCCAAGCACCTTTATACCCATAAAACCTTAACAGGCTTTCGACTGAAAACTATTCGATCCAGTGCAAATTCAAAGTGAATCAGTGAGTGCCTGCCGATAATATATTAGCACAAGTAAAAGAGAGTTTTTGTAGGGTTCCCGATTTGAGTTGCGATTAATTACATACTTTTCATTAGGACAGCTACTCGGTATTGGAGTTCCTGCGAGAAAGTAGTGCGTGGTCTCTTCCCTGTGGACATTAGACTCAAACTCAACAACCGGATTGAATAATGATTGCCGAGAAATCGCCCTTCCTTTATTCACTATCTGCTGCATTCAGCTCATATTTATTCATGATAAAATGAATAAAAATTTAATGAAATAATCAATAGATCTCTGATTGTATTATTAAACGCGTGTTGCACATTTTATCTTAAAATAAAAATTTTTTTTTAACACTATCGATACCAATATGATAATTGATTTGCGAGATGAATAGAATAAAAAATAATCAGAATTACGAAAAAAATATTGTATTGAAAAAGTTAAATAATAAATTAAATTGATGAATTAAAACCTGAAACAAAATCTTACATTTCATATATACAAATTATTTGAAAGGTTCTAAAATATTCGCTTGTCCACATTTAAATTATATACGAGAGAAGAAACTAAACACAGTTTTACGCAATAACAGCCTGTGAATAAGTTTTACAAGGAAAATTAATATTTAAAAACATATTCGTAAATAAATTGTAGTCGCGATTGCATTATTGACTGAGTATTAGTATTATAGTATTAGTCTAATTATTATAATTTTCAAATGCGTCATGACGCTAATTATAATAATTAGCGCATTTTTGCTCGAAAGTCGATCTTTTTAATTTTCTATTTATTCAGAGACACGTTCATTTAAGCTTACCGAATGAATAATGGGTATAGAGTAATTCTTGCGGATGTCTATCATCAAGATCAGCGCTGTTGATGCCGAGTGGATCCAATTTAGCGATATGATGGCCACGAATCTGTCAATTTAATGCCACATTCATGCGAACCAAATAGTTTTCAAATTCTCATTTGATTTAAATCAAAATAATAAATTACTGTGCTTTGATGTTCTACTCTTACAAAGAATAACCAGGTGCATCATAGCAAAAAATAATACACAATATTTGATGCAAGTCATCATTATGCATTCTAAGAAAAACATCATGTCACAGTAATTAACATTAAATATGCATATTAAGATATAAAGCCATAAAAAAATCGTAATATTTGTGTTATCTGCTCCTTAGCTTCCCTATTATTAATGCGGTATATTATCAGTTTAATTATGAGATAAGGATGAATGTGTCTGCTCAAACATCTCCCTATCTGTAATCGTACCCCCTATCGTAATTCACACACACAAAAAAAAAAAAAAATACGTGCGCAGTATGTCAGCGCATATAAATTTTAGAAAGATAAGCATGCTAGGCGACAAAAATATGGTGCAGGTGTTCAAAAGCAATACATATATATATAATAACATATAAAAATCATACATGCAAAATCAACAGGATTTTTTTTTATTCTTACCTCCAACATTTTACTTGCATATTATTGGGCAATGTACGTACATATATATATTTCTCTATTTTTAATCTCTGCCAAATATAAACGCGACGAGTGCGCAATGGTAAATGTCATATTCAACAATGTATGTGTGTGTACAGACACTTAAATTATGAAGGCGATTATATCATCGATTATTATGAAAAGATCATTTCTATTCCCAAATGATTCCCAAAATAAATATGATATTTATTTCAACATTTTCAGTATCAGTATACGTTTCGTTACAAGGTTTATTAAATATGTACCTTTTTCTTTTCTCTTTTTTTTCTTATCTTATATAATTCTTTCTGACTACTGTTAGAAGTAATTTAAATATAAAATATTATATTTTTAATATAAAAAAAATAAAAAACTTAAAACGATATAATTTTTAGAAATGTAAACAAATAAACTACAATATTTCTTACTTAAATTACTTTATATAAATATAACTTCAATAGAATTTTGAAATACGTTCCATACGTTGTAGATAAAATAATGAAGATTGTTTTAAAATTTCATCAGCTATAAGATTACAAATAATTTTCGCAACTTCTTTTTTTTTGAATGCTTGAGTCTTTACGCGAAAGCAGAAAACATCTTTCAGTAAAAATATGATATTAATATGTAAAGATGATTACGTGAAATGATAATACTGAATGTATATTGGGAAGACATGCTTCGAATGGAAACATGAACCGAGTAATTTGCGACTGGTATACACGCGTTTATACACCATATACTCCAAACCAGGATACAATGCGATTTTCATACACCTTTTAAACGTATGGCACGTATGGCACGAGTAACCGAAAAAATTTTAAATAAAAGCCCGTGGAAATTGCTTTGGAAGAAAAGCCTTACCAAGCATATACTGTCGCAGCACTTGTTCTGGTGATCCCTTGCGGGCTGCATAATGCGTGTGTATCAGGTCTGTTTGCATAATACCCAGCGGATCCAGATCGGCAACTAAGTGACCTCGGGCCTATGCGCCAACGAATAATCCCGAAAAAAACCTCACATTTATGTAAACCGTGTCTACAATTGCAACTGCACTATACACATAATACAATTAGGAAAAAAAGCAATACAGCGGCTATATACAGCAGAATTGACAAACAAATATTCCAAATATTTACGTGTGTTCCAATACTTGTAACATATAAATGAACATATAAATCTATTTCAACAACATTTATGAAGGAATGGATACTATTTCGTTTCTCTTATGATTATAATTCAAAAGTAAAACAAAATAGAAACACTATAACATACCAATGACTACCAATTTTAATAAAACAATTAAAAAATGTGCTGTTGCTTCTTTCTTGATAAAGATATTTAATTTGCAAAAAGGACGACAAATTAGGAGGTATAAAAAGATCGTAATTTGAAAAATCCCATTATTATCGGTGGGAAAAATATAGAGATGCAAGACATGCTTAAGATAAAAAAGATGCAGTGAGCAATTGACATGGTCATATAGAATGAGGCTATTATGCAATATTATGCAATATTCTCTCATATTTGTTATTTTTATAACTAATGCATTTATCACATAATCATGTGTTGACAGCATATGAGGCAAACATGAATGATATCAGAAACTTTGGAAATACATGATAGCCCCTAACAATAGACATAAATTATAACATTCAATATTTCATATCCCAGATTCATATTTATATATTCATCTGTGAATTGTGACTAAAGCTTATATCGCATATAGTATATGAATATAAATTTCATAACATGTTGTGTTACCTTTATTAAAAGACATTCTTATCATTCCATATAAATGAAACTGGGACATAAGATCCCAAAATATTTCATTCGAAATTTACATGCATACATAATTGTATCAATGCATATCATAGTTATTTCCGTAATGAATGAATTTCAAAATGAGATATATGATAAATCATCAAGCTTTCGTTTCGACAACAAAAGCCAATTCTTAAAAACTTTCTATTGCATTCGAATTTTTTAAAACGTTTAATCGTGTGATAATATTTTTGATTAAGATAAAATAGTTTTTCCACGCAGATTTTAAATGAATTAATTTAGTGTAATTCAAAACCAAATTTCTCCAGATTCCCATTCCATTTATTAAACGTGTTATAAAAAGTATTTAATATTAACTTTATTATAATATTATGTTTTTATAAATAATAGAGATAGGAGCAGAAAATTAACAGAGAGTCTAGTATTTTTATGTAATTAAAATATTATCATTAAAAAGAATTTTTTTTTAAAAAGCAAATTTTGTTGCAATTAAATTTATATTGTTATCTAAATAAATTATACGCGGCTGAATAAAGCAGTCATCTCTTGCAAACAAAATCATAAAATTGGCAATGATTAAGAGTTATCATCATTAACATACTTTTCGCAAAATTGCACACGATAAATTTTGTTTGCAAAAGCAGTATGTTGAAATTCATTATCGGAGAGTAAAGCAAACAAAATTCCGATATCATACCTGATAAGAACGAATAATAGCTTGTACCGCTAGATGATCGTCAATAATTTTTTCATTAACGGGCGTCTGGCCGAGCTGCGTTCCAACACCAAGGGGCAACAACGCTCCGAGCGGAACTTGGTTGTAACTTGGAGCGAGGGATGGTGGTGCCTGATACGCGAATCCTGGGGTGGCTCCAGCGGTGCTGTTTCGAAAGAAGGAATCCCATGACTACGAATAAACAAAAAGGTACAATAAATTTAAGAAAAATCTTTTCAACCTTACATAATAACATAAATAAATAGATCAAACAGTTTCTACAAGAAGAAACAGTTTACTTATATTATCCTGACAATAGTGAATGTATATTTCCTCTACCTCGTTAACAAACTTTGAAATTAATTTAACTAATTTCAATCTCTCTTTCAGATTTTATTTACAAGACAGGTGAGACAAGTTACCACGTGCACGCTGTTCGGATCTTGCAGCCACGCGTTGTACATCTCCTCCACGTAGGAGCTGGTGCTGCCATTCAGGAAGGGCTCGGTTGCCGCGCGGCTGTTGTACTTCCTCGCGGTCTCGGTAAAGATCACCTGGCTGGTCCTGGTCAGCGGATGACTGCGGACCACCCAGGAGGCGTATCTTTCGGGCCCGCATATGCGCGGCGCCAAGGGGGCCAGCGTAGTGAATATCGTCCTTGCTTTGTACATTTTCACCTGGAACACACCGACACCGAATCCAAACGTCATTCTTTGTCTTATCTCGCTCGTTGGACATCGTCGACGTAAACGAGCTAACGAAACTGCGTAAACATAGTCCCCGATAAGGCACACTTAATATTTTACGGGCCGTTTAAATGTCCCGAGTGACTGAACGAGCTGTATTTCAGATTAAGTGTTTGAGTGTTTGAGTGTCTCATGATCAGACGACATTAATGGGAATGCAGACTTTGATAAGCATTAAGCAATCTTGCACGTACAATTACAGTCTGATTTGTCTGGCCTTATCGGCTACAGTCGGTTGACTTATTATTCTCGTTGCATCACTGACATTTTAGACTTTGCCTGCACGTCATATTCATTGATTACTAAGAAACGCGGCGAATATCAAAGGTATATTTTACAATTATGTAAATAACTTGATGGACATAGCTAAGCGCTCTCATATGTAATATTATATATGTATGCATGTTTGTTTGCGCATAGGTTAAATAAAACTCCGGTCAACACATAAATATATCCATAGAATTCGTTGTGCTTAATTTTAGAGACACAATTGCGCCATAATGCGCAATCCATCAAATTTGAAATAAATACGCGATCGACGTTCGAGCCTGTTATTAAATAAATGACGTGAAATGAAATCATTGGGTATTCTCCAGAATTCCAGCGAGAGATTGCCGCGTGGAATTAATTAGAAAAATGTATAATGTTTATGTATGCACTATCGAGACATTCCATTGTGTGATATTTATATCGCGACAAAAAAAAATGTCTATACTTCACTGGTTTAATAACTGTAAATATTGAAATGTTCGCTCTATTTTTGCGAATTGGCCAGTTTCCAGATTGCGTAACATTGTTCGAGAAATATTTTCCAAACGTTTTACGGAAAATTACAAAAAGAAAAAAATTCTTTAATCTTATCGAGAGAACGCGTGTTCCACGTACACTTTTGTGTTGAATACAAAATTGCATGTTATGTCAATAAAAAGAACTTGATAGTGCACTTGGACAGTGATTCGTAAATGCCTCATAAATATCTAAAGTATTTCCTTTAAGAAACAGTGCAAAGGCTAAAAAGCATAGTGTACAAGCAAGGAAACGTATATATCAAGATGTCGTTGGATTCCAGATAAACGTTCTTAACAGACGTCATTCTGTCTATCAGAAATATTCGCGCGTAAGATAAAGTACTTTGAAAATTGCTCTTCTCTTAACACAAGATATATTTTTTTCTCTTTAAAAAAATGTAAAATTATTTCAGTCAGATGCAAATTATCGTACATTTATATTGATATTGAATATTTATGAACACTAATTCGAAACCTTGAAAGCAAGTTTTAATATACATTAATTGCGACTCCAAAATATTTCTCGATAATCACGCTTAAATTACTCATTCTTAATTATCATTTATTTAACACGACATAAAATCAAATTAGATCCTGCTTCTCAATTAAGCTATCGGAGGTGGAGTAATTGGAGTCATATACGTATCTTTTTTCAGAGATCAAATTTATAAATCCAAAAAGATAAACGAGAGAGCAAGTAAAATCAAATTCTTACAGATCGATACTTCCTTTCACTTTAACATCAAGCTGTAAACAACGAAGGCCACCGAGTCATATCGCTTTTTTTCCGTAAATCGCCGCAGAGTACGATTTGTATCGCGAAGTACACGCATTGTGCCGCATTTTACCTTGAACGGACCTACTCGTTTCCCTTTAAAGGCGCCAGGAATGCGAAGAAACGTGGAGAACGATATAACCGGAAGAGTATTCTTAAAAAATCCGGCTTAAAAAGGCAACTTCGACGGATTCGAGAACGACGGTCTCGAAAACGAGCCGAGGCGATCGCTGGCCTCGTTCACGCACGTGTGACGCTAACCGGGAAAAACTGCGAACTCTCCCTGTCTCCTACGTAGAACCTCCGAGATCGCGATGACTGGAGGTGGGGATTACCTGTCGTTCACTTACGTCCCGAGAACGTGGTCGTGTCGTTACTCAACGTGCATGCCAGACAACGACGAACGAGACAAGCTTTGTATTATATATTACGATAAAGGAACAAGTATGAGATCGATCAGAAGAATACGTACGCTCATTGATAATTCTATCTTAACTATATCAGTTAAAAGACGAGACAATCGATATTTTTAGAATGTTGTTTGTTGAATTTAGCAAAAGTGTATTTTGCAAGTAACATGCAATACAAAGTGCTAATTATGTTGCATGTTGAATGAAATATTATATTTTACTAATATAAGGACGCGCGCGTTTACTTTTTTTATATCTTCAAAAAATTCTTTTGTGTATTGAATATTTATTAAATGATTAATGTATAATTGATGTTTTCGTCTCGATATTTAATAATTAAATAAAAACGCTATCAAATCGTATTCGTAGTTCATAATGAATAAATAATTTGTTGAGATATGCAATTCGCAAGGAAACTCGTATTAATTAGTACGTTTAATTTTTGCTAAAGTATTTCAATAAATATATGTATATTTAAATATATTTATTAATAATAAATCTATTTAAAAAAATTTTTTCAAATAACTAAGAATTTGTAAAATCATCAAAAAATAATCACAAAAAGAGAAAATAAAATTCTACTAGTAATACAATATATCATTTTCAAAAAAATCTAAGAATTAGATTTATCAATAATACTTGACTAATTAATTTTAAAATTAAATAGTACAAAATTAATTGAGTTTTACGCTTTTACATATCAAAGATCACTCGTCATGCGATTTGATTGCGAAATTCGCAGATTATTACCAAGCCTACGTTCGTTTCTTGCAGCTGCACGTGACACTCTCTTTCCACTCGGAATGAAATGGATATGAGAAAATGCGAAGAAATGCGGATAAAACGAATAGATCCTACATTTTCCTATTCGGCTTCATTTTTGAGAGAAGATAGGAGTTTCAAGAAAATAGTTAGACTACGTGTACGAACCGCTTTTTTTTTGCCACACGTGTTCTACCGCGCTTTCTCGATTGTTACTCACTGATTTGAAGCCTTCTGTCATTTACCATTCAAAAAAATTTCAATTCATTCCTCAGAAGACACAGAAGACAAGCATCTTCTTTTTTCCGCATCTTTTCCAAAGACGAAATAAATAGTGCAAGAGCGTCGTAAATGGAAAAAAATTCAAGAAAAAGAACAAAGCATAAAATTGCAAAACGACCGGACTCATTATCGCAGCTCGAGGGAAAAAGAGAGATAGGAAATTACGGAGAATGGATTGCGGAGCGTTAGAGATAAAAAAAAAAACAGATTTTTACCGCCGGTTGATTCACGCGCACGGGAATTAATTGAACGGTCGACGCGGGATGACCCAATGACGCGATCGCGAATGATTGAAGAGAATGTAAAATAACTGACGAGACTTTCAATAAGCTCAATGCGATGTAACAATTCACGGAAAATTTACGACAATTTGCAATCCTTGCCGCGGGAAGGACAGAGGAAGGGGAGAGGAGAACACTGTTCTATGCTCTGACGTGCACCTTAACCTATGAATCTACGAACCCGCGTGCTTCTCCGTGGTTTTCGAAAGTGACGAGACCAATGGTTAGAATTTCGTCACAAAACGATCGCACGAATTATTAACCAGATTATCTCTTATCACGCGTGCTTTCTCTTTCTTTTTTTCCGTCCCGATAAGAATGGGACGCGACGGGGTTAGGGAGGAAACGGAAGAGTGGGAGGACGCGAGAGGCGGGATATACCGCGGGATATATCGTGGAGTCAGGTGACTATTTTCGGTTCGTCGCGGATTTTTACGTAATCGAACATATAATCCTGAAAACGTGAACATATCGCATAACCTCGATCAGCGACGTTCCCCGACGACGTCGACGATCATTAGACGAGATGCCACGAGACCCGACGCACACCGCCGACTCCAAAATCGAAGAGCTCGCCTACCTTGATGTTAACACGACGAGAATCACACACCTTCCACCATTTGCAACTCGCTGCCACCGCCGCCGCACGCTCTCCTGAAATACTTTTACGCACAAAGCAGCGCGATCTCTAGCGACGAACGTGCGAAGCCGGCACCCCCCTCTCTTCTCCCCGCCACCGCAGTCACGTGAGTAGCATGACGTTCTCTAATGACGAAAACGCGGGAATAATGAAATTTGAGATGTAATCTCGTAAAAAGCTAAGCGTAATTTAAAGTGCTTCAATTTGCAGTAATTTTTAAAAAGTAAACGCAAAAGTATTTTAAAGTATTTTAAATGTTGCTTTTGCTTTGGTGTAACAAATTAAAAATGTTAAGTTTCAAAGTTAAAATATCATTTGGTGCAACCGATTCTTAACAATCTCAACTGGCTTTATCAATGAATTAATCGAGTAAGCTACAATTTTTTGTTAATATAAATAGAATTATTAGTTTTTTATTCTGAAAAATAGAATAGTAGAATATAATAATAAATATATAATAATATAAATAAAATAAAATAAAAAATAGATTAAAACAAAGGTAATAACAATTTTGATACAATTTTTTGTTGTTAACTTAAATTAATCGCCATTTAGAATTTGGTCAAAGTCGCCCTGTATTCACTGTAATGAAACATCATAATTAGAGCGTCTAAATTTGTGTGTATGCGCGCGCGCGCGCGCGCGCGTGTGTGTGTGTGTGTGTGTGTGTGTGTGTGGTGCGCGCGCGCGCGATTGAACGGACTATAATTAAATGAAATTGAATTAGTTTTAACTATTTATGATTATTGCACTTTTTTCGATAAAATTTCGAGGAATGTATACATATATAAATTTTTAATTTTTGTATCGTTACACTAATCATTGTAATTTCAATGGCGTAAAATTTTGAAGCTTTTTAGGCTTCAATTGTCAAATTATATAAATGTTGAATTTGCTTCCGTTGACTTTCTCAAAACAAAAAAGAATATCCGCAACAAGAGAACGATGTGATTATCCACCGTGTTATTTAATCGTAACCTATGAATTATTTTTTTAATTTTGTATGTGTGTATCTTTTGTAACAAACAAATTATTTTTTATAACAAGAAACAGTGTAATTTAATGTAAATTTTGTATATGAATTCTGTATATGAAATTTTATTATATTTTCAATTATGTGAGTAATAAATTATAAAATTTAAATGGAAGAATTTGAAGTAACCAATATAAATATTAATAACGACAGGATTTTTGGTAATTTTTTTAAATGTAAAATAAAATCTTAATAAATAAACAAATAAAACACAAATACACACACACATTTTTTTACAGAAATCTCAAGTTTTGCAGAAATTTTAAATTGTATTTTTTGTTAGTAGCTGATTTTTTTAAATTTCTGTACTTTATGTCATGTTTTGATTTTCAGAATTACCTCTAAAAGATCAATCCGAAATGCAATTATGTAAATTAAACGAATCGGAAAGCAGATCAACCATTGCATTAAAAAGTATTATCGTCTACAACAATAAAATTTTTCACATTTATGTTAAAATTATATTATATTTTTTCTTTATATGTTAACATTGTATTGAAATTTCTCTTTCAAATTTTTCAACAGTTCTTTCAAAGAAAAAAAATTTTATTAAATATTTTAAATTAAAAATAATTTAGATAATGTCAGTATCATTACTTTCATTTAGAGATTGGACAGGAATTGGATAAAGCGGAGACAAAATGTTTTACATTAAAATCAGGACTAAATTACATGATAGGAGTTTGTCAGAAAGCTCAAACAGAAACAAGAGGAAATAAAGAAACATCCAACATTTTGCCGATATCATCTAGAAGTCCAAGCTCGAAATCTTCCATCAAATATAATGATTATAACAGTGAAACGAGCGCTACTAAAATTCGAAATTATAACATCCCTCAAAGAATTCATAACGTCGAACTAAAAGCCGAAGAAAATTTTGGTAAAAAATTCTTTCAAAATTAAAATCATCGCATATTTAAATATTCACATATATTTACGTATACCATAGATATTTTCAATCCAAGCCCGAAATCTACTCGGCTTTCGCCCAGAAGAAACGTCGATGATAACGATATTATCATGAGGGCCGAGGGTTTGATGAAGGCCGAGGGTTTGATAGAAGGAAGGCAAAAGGGATCATTGAATATTACATCAAACTCTCAATTAGATAAGAAATTTTCTTCTGCGATAACATCACCAGTTCAGAATGAAATCACGGAAGTAGGCGAATTCGATACGATTTCATATGTTTTACAAACACATACGAGAATTTTGCATACACATTTTTATATTTATTAAGAGATTAATATTACAAATAGGTAGATCGAGAATACGAAACATACTTCTTCCCACCGAGTATATCTATCGAGGAATTGACATTGCAGGCGGATAAGGATTATCTTCACGTAATGCCGTTCTCTGCAAGAAAAGATATTGAAGATTCGGTATTGAATTTCCCGAACCTTCCGAATATTCTGAAAACTGAATTAACGGAGAACAGTAGTAAATCGAACGGAGAACGGAGTAAATCGAAAACGAGGAAAAGCAAGCTGAGTTCCGTTTACAAAATGGATAGCACGATGTCTAAAGCACGAAAAAGAAAGGCAAAATTACGGAGTTCCGTTTCCAAGAGCACGATTACCACCAAAGACACGGGTTTTATTGGTAGGAAAGAAGCGAAAAGACGCCGACATAAAGGTAAACAGCCAAATTTGTATACAATTCCTATCTATTCTACAATTATATCGCGTGCTACTATATAAGAGATAGAATTCTCTTGTTCAGCGCAATTTTTGACGCAGGTCACGCTCATCAACAGTCCAACTCTCCAAAACATCTGAAAAAATTCAACGACGTCGTGGAAATTTTTCATAATACCAGATTGAAGAATAGCAATTCTGGAGTATCCAGTAAGCCGTCTGAACTCAATGAAACGAAAGATGCAAAAAAATCGCATCTTCCTGAGACTGATCGAAAGATTCAAAAGACATCATATTCTGAACGTAATAATAATCGCGAATGTCAATCTCACGATAAAAACAATGAGCAGGATCATTTTGATTGTCTTCAAACGTTAGATTGTCAACTTAACAAAAGCAATTCAGGGTGATTAGCAGATACAATAATAGCACTAGCCATTTTATATTATTATCATTATTTTAAGTAATTAATGATCATTATTCTATATTTTTATTATTAATCTAGCATTTCTTTTCCACAGAGCGACGCTCGAGGCTACACAGGAAGATAAATTGGAAAAATGTTCCAATGATCCTGATCCATCGAGGCGAGACAAAACACGACGGTGCGAGCCTACCTTTAACAGATACGACTCGATATCCATGCCTAACTACGAGATGCCGACTTTGGCGTCGAAATTAAAACGCTCGACCAGATCATATTTCAGCAGGTTTAACTTCCGGAGCATTCCGTTCGTGGTGGGAACGTCAGTGACCCCGAGTTACAATCTCGGGTTAAATATTCAACAAGTGAGCCGTCGAAGCTCTGCCGGAAAAACGGCGTGTCATTTAAAAACACGTCTTCCGCAATGCAGGTGTTGAGCGTGATGAAGATGAGACAGCCGATCGCGAGCGATGTCACTCCGTTATTGATCCGGAAAGTCAGCAGAGGCGTGAGGCCGGTATCGATCCTTCTGGAGCAGATGAACAATCATTACGAAGGATCGCAGACGAGCAGATGGTTTAATAATGGGCAGAGGCTTGGTCAAGGCAAAAGAGAGTCTACGTTTAATTTGCAACACGTGGGAAAAGTGCAAGGTGCCTACGTGCCAAAGACGTCCATCGATACAGAAATTATTTCGAAAAAAGATCATCATGTTTCTAAGCAATGTAAGAAAAAAAGTATTTGCGACCAAGCTAAACAGCAGTCTTCTTCCGCCGTAAACGAAAACACCACCACGCCGGCGAGTATTAAAAATCAGCGAGGAATTTCGAGGATGTCGTTAAAGGTAAAGCGCATTCTAGCAATTTGTATTATAATGCATATTATGAAGTATTGATGCTGCAGGGTAATATCGATCATAAATATATTCCTGACTCGCACAATACTAAGGAAATACGTGACGTTCTGATTAATCTTCACGATCAATTTGAAGAGATGAACACGTGAGTGTGCGTTGGTGCGATACTAAATTTAAAAATTCACAGCTTTTACAAGAGCCGGTTATGTGAGTTGTGTTCTGTGATTTATAGAAAATATGAGAAATTGCAATCGGAGGTGGACAAATCTAACGATAAGGCTTTAGCGAAAGAGCTATCCATTTTAGAAAAGGAGCTCAGTGCCAAGGAAGAAGAAATCAACGCCGTCATCGGTCTTTACAAAGAAGTGAGATTAATTTTATTATATTCATGCCTATTACATATATCGTATATATGGGCATATATTGTTTTCAATGACATTGCAAAACAGGTGATGACGCTGAAGCAGCAAATGAAAATGTTGCACGAAAGAAACAGCCTGGTTTGCATTACAACCAAGTCGATCAAGGAAACCGACAAGAATTCTTTTCCCATGTCGATTATATCCGGGAAATCTCACTCGATGAATCCGACACAGATTATCGGTTCAAAAAAAATGTATAACGCAATGCGAGAGCCGCCCATTTCTATGCAGCTGACTGCATTGTTACGACAAATTCAGACTTTTCATAAGCAATTGCAGCTCGTATCGTAACTACGATAAAAAAAATTGAAATAAAATTATTTTTTAATTAAACCCTCTGGTTGGTAAAAATGGAATATAATAGATTGAAATTTTGACATATTTGAATCATCAAAAAAGGCAGGGATCAATCAATCAATTTCTTCTTCCATCAGGTGAAACATAAAAAATGATTTAACTGGAGCGCATTTAACAGGAAGTGATTTGGAAGGTGTTGCTTCTCTTTTTTTTTCTCCTTCAATAATAAACGAACATTTCCAGCAGATGATATTCCATTTTATTCAATTCTGCTACCCCATAATAATGTGTATTATTTCGTTTGTATGCATGTATGATTGTTTGTATCTTACGTATATACGCAGCTCCGTCTGTGTGTGTTTGTGTGTGTGTATATATACCTCTATATATATATATTTATATATGTATATACAGAATCAACATTTGTGTATAAACGCCAAAGGTGATCATAGGACTTCCGCTAGAGACGGATTCTTCGTCGTCGCGGCTCACACGGTCGATTGCAATTGTCAGTTGCAGCTACGTACAACGATATCCAAGAGTAATTAATTGTTATGCCCTTCTTTTTTTCACTTTTTTTCATTTCTTTCTCTCTGTCGCAAGATTCTAATTTCTCTAGATATGTTCGTAGATCATATAATCCACATGGAATATCTAGCGTTCCTTTTTTTCAAATCTAATTAAACGATTTGTGATCTATCCGATATTCTGTCTCTTAGCTTCGCTAAATAAAATGTTCTCGCTTCCCTTTGTCCTATCTTCTGTTCTAAAGTATTCCTGCTTCTGTCTCTCTCTCTCTCTCTCTCTCTCTCTCTCTCTCTCTCTCTCTCTCTCTTTCTTTCAAAGCGTCTACACAAAATCACGCGATCTATCTCTATGCATAAAGATACTATCCGCTACAAAATGTATCTTAATTAACGTTAATATAAAATGTTATCTTAGATCTACGATAATACTAATTTGCTCTCTCTCTTTCTTACTAGTAGAGGGGCGCGGTTCTGGCGCACCCGCGGGAAATAAAAACATTCCTGTAGCGTCGAATACAAAATTAATTTTCTCTTGTGAACAGCAGTCCTTTTGGCAGTACGGATGGAGGACAATGATGCCGTGACAAACGCGGGGAAAATGATCTTATAAACGCGGTAATAAAGTATCTTTACTGTCGCCCATTTTTGTATTTTACATATCAAATGATGGTGTGAGTAAACGGCAGCAGAGATAAGAGAGATTAATTCCAAGGATCGACCAATTAACAAAGAGATACAACCTAACGTTTACTAAATTTCTTGTTTCGATATTTATTTTTGTATTTATTTCAATCACTGGTACGTCTGTGAAAAATTCCGATTTCTCTCTTTTTCTTGTATTCTCCACGATTATTCTGTCTCCAACCGTTCTTTCGAAAAAGGACTCTGCTTCGTTTATGTTATCGTCATCGCTGTAGAATCTTCTGAAGATATCGCCGACCTCGATTCATCTCCTACGAAGGAAAAATCATCTCCCTTCACCTCTCAATCTTCTACAAAATCGTTTTCACAAAGAAAGAAGGAAAAAAGAAATGGAACCGAGTACTTCACACACACACATTCTTTCATCTTAACGCAAATATATCTCTCATTATATCACAGACTAAAAAATGCTTTGGTCTAAAAAATTGTTTTCTTTTTTTTGTTTTTTATTCGTTTTTGTTAATTAGAACGGACATGCATTTTGCATTTTGCATTTTGTGTTCACAAGCGGCTTTGCTGCCACATGGTTGCATTTGGAAAACTTTAATCTGTTACCTGCGGGTGTGCAAAATCAGCATTAAAAGCGGGTTTGTTTGTTCGCCAATTTTCATTTTCGATTTCCGGTGCCGAAACAGTTAAAATCACCACAACTTTTGTATCTCGATTGCGTATTAGAATTCCTAATTGAGTGAGACGGTGGTTGATTTTGTCGCTATTATGTCCTAATAAAAAAAAAAATCTTTCAGCGTGATTACAACTCATCGTCAGTAAGATTCGCAAAGCATTTCTTTCGTATTAGTCAGCATGCGGTAGAACTTAAGCCATTAGCACCTTTGATTTGTGAAATTCTATGTGAAAAAATCGACCCAAGTGGAATTTTAAGGCGTTTTTATGGTAATCCCTAATCGGTTGTGTGTGTGTATACATTGTGAACGGCCTTAAAATCGTACTTGTACAAAAATATAAACGCAAAAATCAACGAGCTTCTCTTAGTGAATATTCTTTTTTTTCTCTCTCTCTTTTAATACGTTATTAAGATCGTAACATTTGATAGTACTCTACAATATTACAACATGTGATATCTCTTACAAGGTACTTATATTACGAGTAACCCCACAAATTCGTTCTTCACTCTTTCAGCGTTCGACTTCAGCGATTAAGATGATAAAATAAATTTCGGGTTCACTATAAATGTTAATCATTATATAAAACCCGTTTTTTTTCTATCATTTCTCTTTTAAGTCTTAATAATACAATAATTATTATCTGCAAAAAAAATTCAGTAAAAGAAAAGTTTTGCAAGCAAAATTTAAACGACACACTTCTCTCGATAATAAAAAAAAAAAATGTCGCATAGATATTCTATTCTCTTCAAAATGTAAATATTATATTACATAAATAAAATTATATATTTGACTGTAAAATAAATGTGTTATGTTGTTTCTCAAAATCGTAACGACATACGTCGTTATACGTTGGAAAAATCTTGATCTGGATGTGTTGTCTTAATGATTTAAAATGACATTTTTATTTTTATTTCTGGGCCTTATCCTTTCGATATCTGTTCTTGCATTAATCGCTATAAAACTTGACACTTTAAGTACAAACAAGTTTAGAGATCTTTGCAACAAATATATATATATATAAAATATAAGTACATTTTTTATATATTTATATAACTGATCAATTTTATAAACTGTAAATATATCAAAATAAACATCCAGTTTCTTATTAACGTCAAAAGTTTATCCTAATGGGGCAAATGAATGGAGGACAATTAAATGGAAATTTTCCATTGCAAATGAATATGTTAAATATAAAGTGAACCGGTGAACAAGATACGCGATTATTTCATCGTATAAATATTACGATATATCGTACGGTAATACCATACGATATATAATAATCACTTTATGTTCTAGAATTATTAATGCTTAAAGAGTTCAAATGTATTATCCCAATATCATGCTTTTATTTTGTAAACAATTGCTATTGTTCACTATAAATTGTCCGTTTATGTACTTAACTGTTGTAAAAAAGATGCGTTACTTTAATACAATGAAAACATATGGTATTTTCTCAGTGTCGTAACACGAACGGAATTCACGAGCGAAAGAAAACCGCATAAGAGGATATACGGCATGATCTTACGAAAGTGAAGTAGATCTTACATTCATATTATCCACTTTCACGTTTTTGTTCTCGAAAGTTTTCTTTTGATTCTGGGCGATAGATTCTCATTACCTTATAGTATTGATCTTTGTGTTTCCATAGATATTGCTTCTTCAGGCCTTTTTTAATTCATGCAAGAAGAGAAACTGTAGAAATTGCAGATGGTGCCTGCATGGTGTGACAATTATATATTTTTATAAATGTTCAAAGATCATTTCAATAATATAATTTCAAATCAGTTCTTCAGTACTCATGAATTAAATACTACGTCAAGCCTTTTTGGCTATGAGGGCATCAATCAGTCTCAGTTTCGCTTTCGCTTGTTTATAGGATTCATACACGCTTGTAACTTGCGGTCCACGATCCTCGCGTTGCATACGACGGCCAGCTCGAGCTTCGAACTGTGCTTCTAATTCCTTCAACGCCCTACGAAGTCGCTTTTTCTCCTCTCTAGTAGCTCGTTGTTGCATTAATAATTCTTCCCTGTAAAAAAAAGAAATGAAATCTATATCTATAGTAATAATTTTTATATCAAAATGTTTTAAGAAAAAAACGCAAGAAAATAGAAACAAAAATATGTGATAATTCAAATACAAATATAATTTAAACTTACTGAGGAAGAGCATGAAGACTTTCCCCAGTACCACGACTGCCTTCGCTGCTGCTATGCTGACTATCACTATCGGTCGGAAATTGATCCACAGGATCGATACAATCCAAAATACCTCGATGAGACATATCGGGCTCGCTAGCTCTTCTGTCAGCTTCTACGGGATTTACCGGTAGACTCGATGATGTAAAATCCATTGTTTCATGCTCTAAAATCGTGGCTAGCTCCGAAATGCTGTCTTTATTTTTACTCTGTAATATTAAAATAATAAAAATTATTTACATTTGTCATCTTTTTCGTTAAAAATTTGTTTTAAATAAAATTTATGCTGATTCTTACCGCGCCTGCTCTAATAAGCAGTCTCTTTAAAGTTCTATACCGATCGTACAATGGCCGCACAACTGCTCTGTCTTCCTTAGAAACTGGTCTGCCGAAAGTGTTTTCAATGTGGAGCAATGCCTTTTGCACAGCTGTCTTTTCGTCCAACAATTGGTCATAATTGAGATCTTCCATATTATCAGATCGATTGTACTTGATACGCTTCTCGCTAAGTTTCTTCTCCGCTTCTTTAACCATTTCCTCCATCGATGTCACACGAGATTTCTCATGGCCATTGTTGTTGTTTATGGGACTGCTAGCAGTATTCAGTCGATTGTTAGCATTGGCTAGAAGCGCGCCTATCGGATCCTCCTTGAGTAATTTGTGTTCCTTTCGGAGCTTATTAAGCTCCGTACATAGCCGTTTGATATCGCGATTGCTCATCTTATCTGAATGACTCGGTCGATAGCCAAAATTTTCTTCAAATTCATCTTCATACTTCTTGATCTTCTTCTTCAGGCCGTTAATATGTTTTGCAAGATTTTTTAATCCCATTTCCGATGGACTAAGCGTAGTCGGCTGTATCTCTTCTTCAGAGTAAAATCTTCTAGGAACCAATAGCGAGTTTCTTGGCGAAAGCATGGCTTCTACCCGGGCGTCCACGGCTTCTTCCTGTAAAAGTCCATTGAATATATAAATTAACACATGCAAAGAAAAATGCAAATATTTACTTTTTGATAAAGATTTTTTTATCGATATATATAATTTTCTACTATAATTTTCTATTTCAATTCGTTTGCATAATTTTTAATTTTTCAATTAAAATTAATTATTATAATTTATATAACTTATATAATTTTTTTGTATAATTGCTTGATAATTTTTTCCAATAATTTACAATTTTTTAATTAATTCCGATACTTACGTTTCCTTCTAAATGTTGAAAGCCCCAGTTTGTCAAACTGGGATTATTCACATCTTCATGATCAACGGTAGGTGGACGAGCTGGTGAAGGTGATCTGCTCGGTCCACTGCTCAACATCTCCAAGAAGCTTTGAGCTGGTGAGCCATTATGATTGGTAGGACTCGGTGATACATTGGAGATATACATATTTTCAGACTCCTCTTCATTTTCCTAAAAAAATAAATAAATAAAATTTTATTTCGTTATTTCTTATAAAATATGTGATATATTAAATATTCTAAATATCATAATATTACAACATTTTTAAAATTCTAAAAAAAATTTTTTTTTAATGTCATATATAAAAGAGACAAATTTTTCATACACTTAGATTGAGATTTAATTATATATACGCTAATTTTCAAGATACAACTTCTATAGAATATTAGAATCTATTTTACTGAGATTGGGATTTTAACTTTTAACAAAAAATTAAAGAAAGTGTACCTTGCTGGAACTCTGGTCGGTATCCAGGACTCTGTGCACTCTTTTTCTGCGCGCTTGTCTTCTGCCTCTTGGAGTGATGCTTCTGCTGAATCGTTCGCTATTCCTCAATCTTTCGGCATCACAGTCAAATTTTTCAGTTGCTATAACTACCTCGCACGGTGATGGCACCGATGATGATTTCTTTGAAACCGGCGAAACGTTGGTTCTTTCGTGAAGCGGTAATCCGCTACATCTCTGTACGCAAATCACAAATTAGCTCGATTATCATACGAATCTTTCGTTAAACAAGATTAATTTAATTCTTAAATGTTTAACTCTTAAAATATTAATATTAGAATATTAATTTTTCATCATATAATATATCAAAAAATTCTTTCTATGTTAGTACATAAAATAAAATAAATAATTTGTTACGCAATAGTTGCATCCTTTATACATCTAATATAAGAGTGTTTGTTAATAAACAATTAGCTCTATTAAAAAAATTTTAAACATGTTTAAATGTTTTCTTTGAAATTATATATAATGAAAATTGATTAAAAAATTGAAAAAAATGTTTGCATTTTATTTTAAGGATCAAACGTTACATACTGTCACGATAGTACTTACCACGCCGTGACCCATGTCTTGACCGAGTTGTGATAAAATATGCAAATGTTCCTGACTGTTGAAATCTTCGTGACTACTCACACGTCTGATTGTATCTGCGACGTCAGTGGGACTGTCAAGAACACGTTCCTCACTGCTACTCCTAAAAGGCATAATCATCGCATTCCACATACAATTCTTTTTTCTAGATATGTCGTAATGCTGGTGAAAACCATTCGCAAACACATCCGTAAAATTAAAAAAAAAAAAACAAGTTTAAGCAAATATGGATACTTCTGCGCCGCGACAATTTGCACATTACGGGCATTCACATCCAGTATTTATTGTTAATAATAATATCAGTTTAATAATAAATGATAGAAATCAAAACTATGTGAAAAACCGCACTTGCGAAGCGCTTTCATGATGTTACATAATTATTACACATAATAGTCATTATATTTCATAATTAACATGACATAAATTACACGTTAAATGTTTTGACAAATTGCATATGTGCGCTCAATAAACAGAGGGTTTGTGTGTGTGTGTGTGTGTGTGTGTGTGTGTGTGTGTGTGTGTGTGTGTGTTATATTTTATATACTTATAAAAATTTATTTAATTAATAAATATAAATTCAATCCGATTTAAGGCATGCGATTTGTCAAAACAGTTTAGCAATATCAGAATCCTCATCTGAGGATTTAAAATATAAAATAAAAAATATAAAATATAAATAAAAAAAATTTATACGATACCTTATCAGCTTCCGTTCCTGGCAGCAGGACTCGCGACGTTCCTTGCGCTTACGTGGTTTCAGCGCGCAAAGCAGAGACGCACCCTCGGAGTCCTTCGGCTCGTCCCTCGTATCCTTGCAGATCTTACAGTCGCTGGCAGGCACCAAGCCATTCACCGTATTCTCACGAATACTACAGCCATACGGAAGCGAGAAAAAAAAGAGAGAAACCAGGTCAGATCGTAGAAACGAAGCGCGACGATCTTGAAATGTCAGCCTTCGAATTTAATCGACTGCCGTCGTGAGTCAGTCGGCCGCAGTAAAAGAGCAGTATGCGAGCGCGGATACGAGAGTGCGGAAACGGGCGAGACGTCGACGTATTGAAACACGACAAGGGGACGTGGAAATAAATAAAAAAAGAAAAAAAGAAAGGCAAAACAAAAAGAAAATGATGGACAATTTTTCGTGGCGATCGGAACGAAGTAGCGAGCCGCACTTGCTCTCGTTCACCGGCACGATGTCACGCACACACACACACATACACGCGCGCGCACACCATTTTTATATATATATATATATAATTTATAATGTGCCCAGAGCTGCGCTGGATATTACGTAAGGTCTCTGTTTTTCTTTCGGCGTCGCGCCGGCGAATGTCAACCGGATAAAGCGATCCGTCACGTCCGTGTGTGCGTCGGGCGATCGAGGGCTCGGGAAATGCGCCGTTAACAAGATGATCATGAACGAGACACCGGGGAAACAATGCGAGGCACGTACGGTAATTAGGATAATGCGGCAGGTGAGCCCGTTTGTTTTGCATTCGATCAAACAAGAAGCAGTAATAGTAGTTTGCGTAGAAGTGCAAAACGGCTGGCTCAAGTGTCGAGCGTCAATGGAGAGGAGGGACCGTTTTTATCGCGCGCGCTCTCTTATCACTATAAAATTCACAAACCGGATTCGACCGGCTAAAGCGCGTTTGCGTGCGGGAGGAAAAAATATCGAGTCCGTGTCCTTGCGGGTAACGCTATAATAATGCTTGACGCGGCATAATTGCAGTCCGCGAACCATCCGGAGGGCGGTTTCTTAGCGAATATTTCCTGCAAGCGGGGTAACGCGACTAATTGTGTGCCATTAAATTAAAATACACACCGATAAAAATCATGAAATATTTATTTCACGTTTTGGATTCTCGAAAGAATAATCGCCGGGTTACTAGGTCGCTCCAACGCGACTGCAGAGTGACAATCGGAAATTATTAAAATTGAATAGCTGTTATTTCGTAATAAATACAGAAAATGAAATAGACCAAATATGAAATAAATCATTTTGTAGAAAAATCTGTTTTTTAGTCTTTTTTTCATATGATGACAGAAAGAATAAACGCATATAAAAATCGCAAAACATAAATATTATAAAAAAAATTAACAATTCGCCTACATAAATCGTACGTTTTCAAAATGATAAATAACTCCAAATAAAAATTACAAAGCTCAGAAATACATATTTTTTTGTATGAGCTCTAATAAAAATACGAGTTTGATTTATTTTATTATAAAACGGCTACATTTAATTTGAGAAATTTTTAGATTGCCGCGTTTTACAAGTGTAATCTGAAAAAAGCTTTTAAATCGTTTAGCCTTTTCGCAAATAATATATCATATTTAGGATTTGATCATATTAGACGTTACTTTCTTCCGGTTAATCAATTGCCACGTAAAATATCTTTAAAAAATTGGCTTAGAACAATCGGCACTTTATTCAGATTTTCATCTCCGAGATAAAAATTAACATGTGAGTTACGTTTACCTTATTGCAGTTAACTTTAACGTTCTAATCCGGATATTCTTTCTCCAGCTGCAATTTCTCGTGCTCCACAAAAGTTTCCTCGCGCACAAAAGTATTATCGTAGTCAGCGAAATCTCGTTACCGCCCTAGGATTACATATTCGTAACTATGATTTAAATTCACGTTCTCGTGAATCTAATTCTCCTACGTAATCATTTTTCTTTTACGTGAAAAATTAAAGTTGTCTCGGTTTGCCATCATTTTTTTTTTTTTTCTTTTTATTAAAACTGCTGGTCGACGGTAAAATATGTTAAACTTTACACGATAAGGCTATCATTTTCGAGGTAATGCTCTTTCTTTCTTCACCCTAAATTCAGGTCATCCTCGATGCCCGATTTGATCTTGTGTCACGAATCGTAACCCGAGCAGCAGCGTATAAACAAATCGTGAACCGATAAATATTTTCATCGTGACTCACTAAACTGTGCGGTAGCTTCTTCGTGTAGAAGCGAAGCTTGCGGAAATAAAGGCATGATGCAACGATGTATGCTTCAATTTTCGTTAATTCTTCTGACAACAAAACATTTGAATCGAGTATGATGAAAACGAGAATCGATATTTAAATTCGCAAATTTTAATGTTTCTTAAATAAACTTGTTTGAAATAATCTCTTTCGTAATGCGTATTAATTTTTTAACAGATCGACTAAATAAAATTTTCAAAATTATAAAGATATATATATATATTACTAAAAACGTTTTATATTCATTTATAGTTGCAGACTCTTTTTTGTAGTACGAACGACATTATATAGAAATATTACAATTTAAAATACTGTCTAAATATAATGTATAACTTTTAATATCTAATTAAAAATTACTAACTCCGAGACAAAATTATGTGAACAAGCTCTTTTATATTTCCGAAAAACGATCGATCTTCGAATAAAAAGCATTTATTCGATACGGTTAGAAATATTCAAGGTAATATTTATAAAAACACTTAAATGCGATAAAATCTGTTGTGAAGTGTATACAATGACTAACAGGAAAAGGAAATCCTAATCAGACATTGCCCGGATTTGATTAAAATCCGAGACGAGTCGTCGGGCGATGCAGCTGCATTATACTCTAAATATAACTTTTGTTCGCGTATGCATATATTATTTACATGTATCTATCATCAAGAGTTGGGAAAATTCCAACGATGTGATATTTTCGCATCGCTGTATCGCGCTTTCGATGGTCACAGGTCGGAAAGTTCAGTAGGAATATCAATATGATGACCGCAAGCCAATTACGCCGTCATTCGTACCGGTAACGCGCCGTTAATTGCCGAGCGATTAATTCTTAGTAAGACGTACGTCAATTTAACGATAGTGCCTCGTAAACGCTGCCGTTACCCGAAAGATTCGCGCAAACACAGACACGAGTGAAGATATAAGCATTACCGAACGATAACAATCTTACAAGATTTATGAATTTCTAAAAATAATTGGATCATTCGGCTGAGAAATTGGCTGATGTTACTCGAATGATTGATGTGTCAATAGGAAGTGTCACACTTTTTTCATACATTATAAGAGACGAAAAATTATAAGAGCTAATTACGTCATTGTGACAGCGTTTTCGGCGGCGGCATCCGTGCGAAAAATTCTGACGACCGCACTTTTCATCTCGTGTTCTCCATTAGCACCTCGGTCCTCCGATCGCGAGAGAAGATGAGTTTTTTGCTTGTTTTTGAAACAACTGACGAAACAAGCGACTGAACGACGATATTCCGACATGGTGTTCTTTCGATCGCGCGGAGATCAACGAATGAACAGGAAATGAATATGCCTACGTGACAAAACAAAGTGGCTTGCGTCGCTCGCGAAGCGCAAGCTTTATTGAGGAACAATCGAGGTGATGATGATGATGATGATGATGGGATGATGATGATGATGATGATGATGATGATGATGATGATGCATTCGTCACATGAATAGATCTAATAAAAAAATTGCCGGTCGGACTCGCACGAGATATAATTCGATTAATTCGCCGGCGGGCGGCTACAGACTCACGCGCCTGTAAACTTTGTTCCGCGTAGATTAATGTCAATTAACATAAACGGGAGCTCGTGACAGTCGTTTATTATGGACTATATCTTCTAAAAAGATTTCCACGCGACTTGTTTACCTCCAAAGAATCCAGACCTGCCGCAATATCCATCACGGATATGCAATATTCATGAAAATGTCCTTTTCACTTATAAAATCAAGTAATCAAAGTAATCAAGTTCTATTGTATTGTAATTGTAGAAGATTACGCAATTTACGATTTTTTCTAACGATTTAATGAATCTTAATAAGGCATCAGTTTATTTCAAGGTACATTCTTTCTTGTTTTAAGACTATCAGGTATCGATATCAAAAAAACAGATCGAATTTTCTCGTGCGGGATTTGTGATATTGCTTCTCAAAATAACAGCTCATTTCTCTCACGTCAGCGATTGTTATCGTCTAGCCGTTACGTAAGAATTTCCCGATCCGGACGGTACTAAGGTGCATAATAAGCGACGCGCGAGAGTTATCCAATCCGCGTGCAATTCCGCGCGGTACTTGCACTTGTGCCATGGTTAATAAATTTCGATTAAGGGCGACGTGGAAATTTACTCTCCGCGAGCTCCGACGCGTTCTAACGAGGCCTCGGCTCTTTCACGAATTACTGTGGATTTACGGCGCCGCTCGGCGAGACGATGTGCCGCGCGATCGAGTGCCTCCTAATGCATCGTGATAAACAAGAGATGCAGAACGCACTCTTACATCATGTCAGCATCGCGAAAAGTAAAATATTTCAGAAATTTTTAAGTCTTAAATAATAACGTTGGAACGTAATCTAAGTCACTAATAAGTCAGTCTTCTCAGTCAGTCAGAGATAGAGATTAAATTTAAAATGTAATGACACAAAAAAAATACACCATTCATGGCGCAAAATAAAAAAATTGTAGAAATTGTGTTTTGATATAGAAAATCGAATGAGAAATAGGAAAGCAAGCATAGCTTTGAAACGTTAAAGACCTTGAGATATGAGTCGTTCTTGTAATTAAAATTAAAATTAAATTAGCCATTTTATATATGCATGTATGTACGTACGTAAGAGCGTAGTACGTAAGAGCGTAAGTCCCTCGAGACTCTATCAATATAAAATATAGAGCCTGCCTCTAACAGCGTTTAATATCTAAATATTTTATTATTATTGAATTTTAGCTATCTTCCCTCTTGCTCTTTCTAAGTGCTGTCGAATGATTTTCCTGCTTAAGTTCAATTGTCATTCATTCGTTAAATATGCGGAATAAATTGCATGTTTCTTGCCAGCTATTAATTCAATATTTTAAAAAATTATAACTACAATTTTTGGAGAAATA